AGATTAAAAGGGTCTTGAGTTCATCGGATGAATCGAAGTAAGAAAGTGTAGAATTGGGGAGTTTGTCACCAACGGATATGGTGGCGGAGATTCTTGAAATGGTGGAGTGTTTGAGAGAGTGTAAGGGGTGGAGGGGTTGTTTGAATTTGAGTGGGAGAGGAGAGAAATGGGAAGAGGAGGTGAAAAGATTGGATCTTTTTGGGGAAAGAAGAGATAAGGATTTTGGGGTTGAGGATTTTAGGAGTTTTGAAAGGGTGAAGGAAGCAGCAGTGGTGGCAGTGGCAGCCATTGTTTGAGCTCTGTGTGTGTGTGTGTTGGAAGAAAATGAGGAGTTGTAGAAGATTATGATGTGCGGCTTATGACCTTAAGACTAGGCTTTTGTTTGGCTTTTTGGACACTTTTTTGGGGACAGAAGAAACTATGAAAGGGTTGGTTTTTGAAGAGGTGGCAAAGATTGTAGTGGGGAGGTTGACACTTGGCCTTGATCCCTTACTTTCTGTTAATAATTAATTGCATATAAGAATCCTGGTTTATAGAGGAGACTAAATAGACTGGTTTGAATAACAAATTAGAAAATAAATAGGAATACACAATAGCCACCCTTAAAATAATAATCTAAATATATATATATTAGAGTGGGGTGAGTAAGAGAGAGACTCGCATCTAGTGTTTTATGTAATAAGAACGTGCCATCTAAACTTAAAAGATAAGTTTTACAGAACGGTTGTTAGATCGACTATGTTGTATGGGGTAAAGTGTTGATCAGTTAAGAACTCTCATGTCCAAAGATGAAAGTAACAGAAATGAGGATGTTGAGATAGATGTGCGGGCATATCAGGATTGATAAAATTAGAAATAAAAATATTCGGGCCATCGTAAGAGTGGCTCCAGTGGAGGACAATATGTGAAAAACGAGGCTTAGATGGTTTGAGCATGTGAAGAAGAGAAGCAGATATGCCAGGAGGTGCGAGAGGTTGGTCTTGGTGGGTCTGAGAAGAGGTAGAGAGATGCCAAAAAAGCATTGGGGAGAGGTGACTAGGCAGGTTATAGCGTTGCTTCAGCTTACTGAGGACACGACCCTTGATAAAAATGTATGGAGGTCGAGAATTAAGGTAGAGGGTTAGTAGGTAGTCGAGAGTATTTTTTGGTCATTACGGTAGTAGTAGTAGTAGTAGTGTTGGCCTTGTATTCTATTATTGTTAGATTTCTATTACTACATGTTATTCCTTTCGCTTTGTTTTCTTATTATCTTGTTGTTAGTACTACTCAAATCTATTACTTTCTTTCCATTTTTTCTTGAGTCGAGGGTCTATCTGAAACAACTTCTCTATCTTTAAAGTGGGGGTAAGGTATGCGTACGCACTATCCTTTTCAAACCCCGCTTATGGTATTACACTGGGTTTGTTAGTTGTATATTAATGTATAACATATAAATAACATTTTATACATAATTAATATATATAATTCATATATTTGACTAGCGATTGTAATTATTTTTGGCAAGCTAAGAGTGTTTAAAGCCCAAATAAATAAAGAGGCACTCACTACACATTGGTGATGTACTAGGGTATTCGTCGGTCAGTACGGTACGATATTTTAATATTTCGGTTCGGTATTCAGTTTCTATACCAATACCGTACCTAACTAAATTCGGTATGGTTTGGTTTATCTCCTTTCGGTTTCGGTTTATTCGGTTCGGTAACTTCGGTTTATTAGGTTTGAATACTAACTAGTGGATAGCGTTATAAACTGTAATATTCTTAATTAAAGTATTCAAAAGTACAAAACTCAAAACGTTTGTTGACAAAAGTTTTGTCCAAAACCAGCAAATATCAACCCAGAGAGAGAAAAATGTACATAAATGAATAAATTTGATCATTAGAAATGTCTTGTTACTTGCTTAGAGTTAATTGATGAACTTAGAGAATAAAAAAAAGTAAAATTTTAGATTTTTTATATTTATGTAATTAATAATTGTGTAATATAATATATATTTTGGTACGGTATCAGTATTTCGGTATTTTATTTTAAAATATTAAATACTATACCTAATATCAATTTTTTTTAAAACATAAACCAAATATTACCGAATACCAAATACCAAAATTTTTGATTTCAGTATTTACCACAATATGCACAGCCCAACGAGGTACAACAAGAGGTCCAAATGAGCAAAAATGAAACTTGGTAGGTGATATTAGAATATTACGGATTAATGTTTTCTTTAATTTTATTTCGAATTTTAGTATTCAGTTTTGTCTAAATGTTTAAAAAAGGGTTATATATATTTGGAATATATACCTATAATGGAAGCTTTATAAAGAGATTGAAATGAATTACTAAAATCCTGCATAATTTGAATAGACGTGATTATGACCTTTTGCTCGCTCTTTTGGCAGGGCAGTTAGGTTAAAAATTGCACAGGTCGCCCTATTTGGTCGTCCCTATTTAATTTATATTTACTTTTTAATTTTTTTTAAATTTATACCCACTATTGAAACAACTTGAGGCATTCTTCTTCTTCTTCGGGAGTGAATTTATATGGTTTTTGTGACCATATTTTAAGGTAGTTTATGATATTTTACAATGGTGAGCTGTTGTGGCACTTTATTTTTTTACTATTGCTTAAGCTTTTTCTTTTTCTTTTTCTTTTTTTAATTGCAAAATGGGTTTGTTAGATTTATTGTTGTTTTGGCAAATTGATGATTGTGGTTTGTTCTTGATGATATTTGGAGGTTATGTTTTAAATTTGAGCTCATTTGAAGTAGATTTAGGTATTAAATAGTATATTGGATTGTTAAAATTCGAAGAACAAATTTCTGTTTCTCGATAATTTGCACTTCAGACTTATTTGGCCTTAAGTGCATGAAAACGTTAATTGCACTTCAGACCTTTTGGCCTTAAGTGCATCTGAAGTGTATTTTTTCACTTCAGACTTATTTGCCTTAAGTGTAGGAAAATATTTGTTGCACTTTAGACCTTTTGGCCTTAAGTGCATCTGAAGTAGGGGTGTCAATGGATATTTAAAAACCGACTAAACCGATCGAGCCGTACCATACCAGTCCGATTTTCAAGTTTCTTTTAATAAAATCGCATGTTTTAATATAAATCTATAACCGTGCCGATAATTATGGTAGGTTTTTTATTTTATGAAAATAAATCGAAAAATACCGAACCATATCGAATAAATTTAGATGTAAAAAATATATTTATATATTACGTTTAAAAATAACAAAGCATTAAATTCTTTCTTGGGCTGTGGAATTATGAAAACGGTTACAAGCCAACAAGTAAACTCAAAATCCTAATTTCCAAACTTATTATACTATTGAAATTAAATTATTTGCAACATATTCACGAACAAGACACAAGGTATTATAACAATTATGAGTAGCAAACTACAATGTATTGAATATGTTTCATTTAGTATGATTTAGATTTATTTTTTTGAAATATTTAATCTTCTATAGACTTTATTCTTGAGTCCCAACTTGGTTCATATCTTTTCACTCGTGTGATTTATATTTTCTTTGTCTTTGCTTAGTTTTTTTTACACTGCTATAGAATAATTGATGGATCTATACTCTGACCATCTTTCATGTTTTCTTAATTCATCATCCTTTGAACAATAAAAATATCCAGGGAGTTTTGTGAAGTCCTATAAAAGTATGTTGGTTATGGCATTCTACTTCTACTAGTGACTTTTATATGACACTAAACAAATAACCGAAAAATAACCGAATCATACCGATACCGATACCGAATAGAAACCGACATGATTGGCACGGTTTTAGAAAGTCTAATTTTGGTTGTAAATAGTAGAGTTAACCGAAAAATAGTATGATATAAATTTTATAAAATAACCGGCCGAACCAAACCATTGACACCCCTAATCTAAAGTGCAATTTTTCACTTCAGACTTATTGGCCTTAAGTGCATGAAACCATTGGTTGCACTTCAGACCTATTTGGCCTTAAGTGCACCTGGAGTGTAATTTTTCAATTTAGACTTATTGGCGTTAAGTGTAGGAAAATATTTGTTGCATTTCAGACCTTTTGGCCTTATGTGTATCTGAAGTGCAATTTTTCACTTCAGACTTATCGGCCTCAAGTGCATGAAACCATTGTTGCACTTCATATCTATTTGCCTTAAGTGAATCTGAAGTACAATTTTTTCACTTCAGACTAACTTTTTTTAACTTCAGACTCGATAAGTCTGAAATTGATCGTAAAATGGGTAGGTTTGCAAACTTTGAAAAGTGGATATAGATTAAATTGTGATCCTAAAATCGGGTATAGATGCAAAAGCTAGTCTCTACAAATGATGTTGAGCCCAATGGGTCTTCTTTTGCACACATTCTATGCCCACCAGTAGCAGTCCAAAATTCAAAGTCCTTAATCATGGTCCAAATCTAAATACTAAATTTTAGTGTTGACAATGACATAATTGGACAAGCAAAAGTCTCATTTTTAAGGTGTAGCAAACGAGTAATAACAGGAAAAAAGTAGTAGTAAGTAGCATTACTAGTAGTAGAAAGCATTATTAAATGTGATAGAAACAACATCGCATGATTGTTTGAGTGGTTTTATCATTATTGACAGGGGCGGCGTGTACACATTGTCCATGAAGTGTTACGGGATGATTTGTCGAAATTTTTTACTAGATATTTATAAAAAATGTTTGAAAAACACATCAAAAAAGATACCACTTATCTTTTCTTCAAGTTGTGACAATGATTATAAAAATCCTAAGTACGCAAGTGTTAGTGGAGGCAATCAGAGTGTTATATATATTCCATTTACTCAATCTTATGCCATAAGTAGATGTTTGTTTGGTGAGATGGAGTATTGGTCAATCATTAAACCTTGGCACAACCTGTCCATACTTGGCAAAATTAGTGAATGATCTTTTCTGATTTCATGTTTTTATACCAGTTTTCACTTCCATATCAATTGTTGGTCATATGTCCCTTTCAATCAACCATTAGCTGAAACAATAAATGGTAGAAAAATGGAAACATATCTCTGAAACTTTTACACTGTATTGAAACCAAGTACATCTGAGAAGGAAAGAAAAAACAGAAAAAGAGCAACAGATTCAGCTACTACTTTGTGCCTCTTAGCACTAGTCATTATCCCTTTTACTTTCTTGTTTCTTTCTTTTACCTATCTTCTATGTGTGCTGCTGCATTTAACAATAGGACTGTTTTGTTCTACTGTATAGCACTTCACTCTCTGGAATATACACAAAGAAAACAAACAAGATTCGAGCCACGGCTCAAATCCTTTTATGCTTTGAACCTAAAAGAATAACCAACTTTTCTTCTTTTTACAAATGAAAAAAAAAACACCCAAAAGCAAGAAAATGGAGGAGAATTAAACTGCAGAGGCGCAACGCCACTGAAAACGCCACTTCTTTTTGTGCTACGGAGTGGAGCACAGGGCGAAAAGCTCAAGATTCATACCCTAAAATCAGTTCACGAACACCCTCTAAGAGTTTGGCACGAATGTGCCAACGTAACCAAATCCCACTATGAAGAAAGCGAATGCTTGAATGAAGAGGTAAAGGAAATAGTGATTATTTCCGAAGGCAATGTCATAACATCCACAGAAGAAGAGGTACGCACCAGCAGCAAGCTCTAACAAATGAATCCTGTCGATAATACAACAATAGGAAAGTTTAGTCATACAAATTGTTCAAGAAATTGAGTTGCTTAAGTCTTCAAAAATCTCATACAGTCGTATCTCTCTATAACAACATTCTTATATAACAGTTATTCATTATAAAAGCTAAATTTTTGTCAGAATTTATTTTTATGTTATATTATAATATATGTTCTCTATAATAGCACTTCACTATAGCAGCCAAAAAATATCGGAACAAATGAGGCTGTTATAAAAAAAGTTTAACTCATATTTGTAAGATGAGATATAATTACCTGTCGCCAAGCCTCATTCGATGTTTTCTAAATGCTTTGGCAGCTGATTTTAACTTGAGAGCGTCTCCTAATTTCTCGGTCACAATCCATTCATTTACTCTTCCTGCCTCCAACAAGCCGATGAAGGTGGCCTTTGTTCGATGTAGTGACATAACATTCTCAAAAAGGATCCAAAATACCAGCAAATGGAGTGACCTGTTTTCAATTCAGGATAAGCAAAACCTCAACATTTCAAGATTTCGTAACCAAATGACAAATTAGTAAGATAATGTTTGATCCTTGAATGGCAATCAAGGCATATTTATCAAGTAGTTGCTAATGCATGTTTGAATATTTAATGATCTTAAAATCTAATGTATCATGTAAACTTTCAACTGTTAGGATCATAGCCATATCAAGTAAGCGAAGAGCGATGTAACAACAACAACAACAACCCCATTGTAATGTGTACGCAGACCTTACCCCTACCTCGTAAAGGGAGAGAGGCTGTTTCCGATAAATCCCGGCTCAAGGACAGCATAGTCACAACAGAGTTGAAAACAAATATGGTATTAAAAAAGCCATGGAAACAAGGAAGTAATAACAACAAGATAATAAGATAACAAGCAAAGGAAATAACATGTACTAACAGCAAGATAATAAGATAACAAGCAAAACAAAATAACAGGTACCACTAAAAATCTTAGTAAGAAAATACGAGAATAATATTAATAGTACAGATATGGAAAAAAATACGCACAACTACCCCCTAACTCTCTATCCTGATTCTCGACCTCCGCACTAAGTGAAGGGCGATCTAATACAAGTATAAGGTAAACTGACCTTGGAGTTCCAACTGCATTGAGTAGTGTTATGATAGCAGGAATGTAAACAGCTCCCCATTTCGGAACTTCAACTTCAGGCACTAATACAGTGGCGGGTAATACTACAACGTAGAATACGAAAGTAACGATATGAGCTATGACCTTCCGCACAAAGAAGAAGCTGTAAATCACATGAACCTTCTTCCACAAAGACACTTTCTGCAAGCAAACAAAGTCAATAAAAATGTTCAATGTGTACTTAGATACTATGCAGTTAGTTGGCTAAGAAATTGAAATATGGCAATGGTAATTTAGGAGTTACCTTATTTCTTACAATCTCCATAAACATCTTCCTGAAGAGATTTGCTGGACCACATGACCAACGATGTTGTTGATAACGATAGGCCTTGAACGTACTTGGTAATTCATTTTTTACCTATATGATCGAATGAGCACGTTACATGTTATATTAACAGCAGCGACTTTGACGTTACTAGATGTGATTTACTCTGTTTGTATAGTACTAAGTACATGATAACTAAATCACTATATAGTATAGCATTTATTTATTATTTCGAGACAACAATAACAATAAAAGGGCAGTTCGGTGCACTAAGTTCCCACTATGCACGGAACCGTACCATAAGGGTCTATCATACGCAACCTTGCCCTGCACTTCTGCAAGAGGCACGGCTAGAACCGGTGACCTCCTGGTCACATGACAACGGCTTTACTAGTTATGCCAACAACAACAACAATAACAATAACAAACCCAGTAAAATCCACAAGTGGGGTCTGGAGAGGATAGTGTGTATGCAGACCTTATATCCACCTTGAGAAGATAGAGTGGGAGTTTCCGATAGACCCTCGTCTCAAAAAAAGATTTATCATTTTGAGACAACGGATAAGAAATGTCAGATGGGGGGAAATATGTACCATGAGAGAACTAAGGTACAAGAATTTCCAGCCCTTGAGACTAGCACGGACAGCGAGGTCCATATCCTCAACTGTTGTTCTGTCTTTCCAACCTCCAGCCTCATCTATTGCAGCAATTCTCCAAACACCTGCAGTCCCTGTGTTTTTGTTCCACATACAACTTTCAGTATATAGGTTTATTGGACCACACATAATTCACAGAACAAGCTAAATTAATATTTTCTTGGACCATTGCTAAACTAGATATTCAGTGTGATCCAATAAATGGGGTTTGGGGAGGGTGGGGTGTATGCGGATCTTACCATATCTTCTGTGAGGTAAAAAGGTTGTTTCTGATAAACCATCGGCTCAAGAAAAGCATTTTCAAAACAAATTTGAAGTAATGCTTAATAAATATGTTATTAACTTGTCCAGTTCATTGGATCTAAAGTTATGAACATGATTTAGGAAAGAAATTCCCAACATTGCAGCATACACATGTTTCTTGAAACTGGGGAAATTTTTTTGTTCCATTTTCAAGAAACATGTTAGATTAAGTCCATGTCATGTTTGTAATTTCATGAGAGTTTGTCTCCCAAAACATAATACTACTCCCTCCGCTCCCTCTTACTAGTCGACATGTTTCACTTTTCGAGAGTCAAACTACATGAATTTTGACCAAAATTTTAATATATATTTATACAATATTGGTATGAAAAAAATTGTAAGTTATAATACTTTTCGTAAAGTTTTCGAATATTCAAATTTAACTTTAAAATATTAAAATAATCTAATCCAATTTAGCTTAAAAAATTAATCAAATGGACGCTCAAGAAGCAAAACGAGACAAGTAAATGGGAACAGAGGGAGTACTAATTTAGACATTTTTCAAAAAATATGTTGACCCTTAACTTGCTTGTGATTTCAAAAGGGTTTGTAATCAAAACAATAATTATAGTACTCTCTTCGTTCACTTTTACTTGGCACGTTTTGACTTTTCATGCCCTTTAAGAAATAATAAATGAAGTATATAAGTTATCATGATACCCATATTAATTGATGCATATTTTATTGGATTTAAGAAAATGATTTGAAATGAGTAATAAATACTGTGAGTATAACAGGAAAAAAAATTGTCTTCTCTTGATATACGTAAAGTAACAAGTAAAATTAAAATTCTATTTCTAGTATACATGACAAGTAAAAGTGATCGAACGGAAGAATAAAATTAGTTCAAAGTGAAGGAAGAGTAATTAATATGGAGAATTAATACCATTAAATCCGAAAAAAGCATGGGTGGCAGAGCCCACTTCTTGCTCCACAGTGAAATGGTAATCCAAAGACATTTCTTGCATTCTTGTCATTAGACATTCATCAGCATTTACTGCAAAATCACCCACCAAAAATCAACTGTATTACCATAATTTTCCAACGGACATTTTTTAAAAATTGATTTACATGAAATATTTAATTTGACCTATTAAATTTAAGGGCAAAATACAAAATTGACCGGTCGGTCAAAACTAATTGCATTTACTAGCAAAAAAATGTATAAAATATATATTATATATAAATAATACACATATATAAAAAAATATATATATATATATATATATATATATATATATATATATTTTATCAGCTATTATTTTGTCAGCGGCTAAAAATATATATATTTTTAAAAATTAAATAACGAAAATTCTCAAAGTCCGAAAATTTTTAGTGTCGGTTAGTAAAAGAATTGGTCTGAGGTCCACTATTCCTATAGCACATGCCAGTTGTTGGCTACTTTTGGAAAGGAAAAAAGGTATAAGACAAAAGGACAAATATACCCTTGTGCTAATTAATATAATTCCAAAACTGGCCTTCCCTTCAAAAGAATATAAAAGATTTCCTTGGCAGCCCCTGGCCCCAAAATCTAGTTGGATTATTTTTAAAGGTACTAAAAAAGCTTCCATTCACAGTCCAAAAATGATAGGGGCATTTATGTCCAATAAAAAACCTATATATAATATAAAGTGCCTCTTACGAAACCACAAATACATTTTTTTATAATTAATCACCTCTTCTTTTCAGCTGCACCAGACAAAACAAATTTTCACACGGTTGATTATTTCAGCAAAAAAAATTTCACAATTACACTATTTTGACATAGAGTTCTTTTCCCACTAAAAGGCCATAACTATCCATTTTACTATTAAAAATAAATTATATTTATCCCTTACTTTGCAAATAAATTTACCCCTATCATTATACTTTACTTATTTTTACCCTTCATCTATTAAACCTCTATCCCAGCCTTGAAAGTCCACGTGTCATGCTGTCATTGGACGAAAAGAACCATCCAATCTTATAGCCTGTTTGGCCACGCTTCTAAAATCTGCTTATTTTGTTAAGTATTTTTTTTAAAAGTGCTTTTCAAAAAAGTACTTTTGGTGAGAATCAAACTTGACTAATTAATTTGAAAAACACTTTCAAGCAGTAATTAGTGTTTGGCCAAGCTTTTGAAAACTGTTTCTAAGTGTATTTTTCTCAAAAGTACTTCTCAAAAAAATACTTTTGGGGAGAAGTTACATTTTTTCTGCTTATGCTTCTCCTCAAAAGCACTTTTTTTCTTTCTAAAAGCTTGGCCAAACACCTTAATTTTTGGCCAAAAACACTTTTGGCCCAAAAAAAAAGTTGGCCAAATACTTATTCCAACTCCCATCGATAGGGTGGATTTATTAGCAAGTTGAAACGAGTGATAAATATAGCTCATTTTCAACAGTAAAGGGGGTAAAAATGACCCTTTTTCGTTTCTTTGTTAAAAAGTTTCAATTTTATAGAATAGCCAATTAACTACTAGGGCCAAGTTTCATGAGCAACCAAATATAACAAACACTCAATGTGGCCTAAAAGAGCTGACCTACCAAAAGATTGTACATCATTATCTACTACACACACAAGAATTGGTAGTGTGTAAAGTGACCGACAGTTTTGATGAGTTAATTTGACCAAGTAATATAAGACAATCTACTATTTTTGTTTATGATTAAAGAGATATAATTATTATACTAATAAAGTGATAAATTAAGGTATAGCCTAGCGATTAATTAAATGAATAAAAATTATGTGACAAGACAAATAGAGAGAAAGAGAAAGATGACTTCTTCGAAATTGACTATAAGATTTAGTGGACAAAATTACTCATGTCCTAAAAATAAGAGAGAATCTTTCCGGAAAAACTGTTAGAACGAGATCTCTCATACAAAAGATCTTAACTAACTACTCGTGCAATGCACATTAAATCTAATGAATCTCCTTATTTAGCATCTTTAAGTGTAACAGAATAATCGAAATTTGCGCAAATTGTCTGGATATCATACTTGTGAAAAAATTATATGAGGAAAGTGAATAAGTAATACAGTCTATCCTGAAAACGCAGAGAGACCCTATGTCACCTTCAACTAAAGAAAAAATGAGAAGAAGTAATGACAACTGAAAACGCAGAGAGACTCTATGTCACCTTCAACTAAAGAAAAAATGAGAAGAAGTAATGACAACAACGGGATAATAAGTAAAAAGTAAATTTACCATATTTCCAACGAGCTTGAACAAGGGAAAGTTCAGGATTGTGAACTAAAAATGGAATTGTACGCCAAAGGAAATCAGGTTCAGGTTGAAAATCAGCATCAAATATAGCAACAAAATCACATTGCTTAACATAGGAATGTTTCAACCCTTCTTTCAAAGCTCCTGCTTTGTAACCACTCCTATTGTTTCTCACTTCATACTTTATATTTATCCCTTTACTTGCCCATCTTTGGCATTCTATTTCCACCAAATTCTGCACATATTTCAAGTATCACAAAAAGGGTTTTTAGGGTTTTTCTATAATGACAAAAAGGTTAAATTTTCACAAAAAACCTTTTAGGATAAAATAAAATTGGCCGAAACTATCCAAAATATATATATATATATATATATATATATATATATATTTTATCGGCTTGGGAACGGCTAAAAATAAAGAATTTATCAAATCTTTTTTTACATTTATTTACAATACCTTGGTTATGGGGTCTGTTGAATCATCAAGAACTTGTACTATAATACGATCAGATGGCCATGAAAGTCCACATGCAGCTCCAATTGATAGCTGGTAAACCTGAAAAAACATCAAGTTTTTGTCTAAACTAAGGTCATGCTCTTGCAAAATTTGAATAAATGGAAAAAGAGTTTAATTAATTTTCATCGACGCATAAATAATTTTTACACTATCATGTCAAGTGATGAAGGCACAAATTTTATTAAAGGGTATCAAAATATAAAGAAACAACATAATTTTCCGACGAAGAAGTGTCTATTTGCCTTATTTTTAAGATTATAAATCTTAGAGGAAAAATTATTTATAGATATTTATTGGATAACCTTATAATGTAAAACAGAATTGTACTATTGAAAAGAAGAAAGAGTACAAACCTCTTTTTCATTATACATAGGTATTTGAACAAGAACCATAGGATAAGATGAATTTCCAAGCTCAACATCATCTTTTAACGGTTCCCATTTATAACGTTTCTCTGGTTTTCTACCAAAGAGTTTTACAAGAGAAATGACAATAAACATGTAAACTCTTTCAATGAACAACATAACAGACATTGTAAGGCACAATAACACTGCAATTCTGAGGAGAGGGACAATCAATGGAGCTTTAATTTGTCCCCATATTATTGCAAATTGCTCTGTTATATCATCTCTTGTGCCGTAAAATGTATCAGGAAGCAATGTTGTTGCCGAAATCCTCTCCATTTTTTGCCCACAAAAAACAGAGGATAAAAACAGGGGATTCTTGAGAAAACAGATGATAAAAACAGGGGATTCTTGAAACAACAGAGGAAACTCAAAGAGATGAAAAATGTGAATATTTTAAATTTGCAGAAAAAGTGAGAGAATATGTTTCTTTTTTGAATTTTTTGCTTTTGGTTTAAGCAAAACAATGGAGGCAAGAGCTGGAATGTCAGAAGACAGACAATAAGCTCAAACTCACCACTATATTTTGCTCCAACAACGAGATTCTTTTTATTTTTTGAACAAATGGAAAATGGAGAAAAAAAGGAAAACAAAAAATGTAGCAACAAAAACAATGAGAAAGAAGGAAGAAGTGGAGATTTTTTGATTCTTCTCTGTTAGTTTCAAGAAAATAAATTGGCTCAAAAACCAAGGCTAATGTTCTTATTTTTCTATTATTTGCTTCTATAATGAAAGAGAAATAATAGCAGAGGTATGTATTAATGGCTAAAAAAATATAGAAAAAAATGGTGACTGAGAAAATAGAGAGAGAAAAGGGACAAAGGAAGAAGATGGAGAGAGAAATAAAGGGAGGGTTCTCTTTTTATAGAAGCTCTAGTTTAGCTTCTGGTTTGAGTTGGTTAATCTTTTTTCTTTTTATTTTTCTTTTTCTTTTTCTATGTTCTAATATTTTATGATAGTAGCACTTTTGATCCCTCATTATCGATTGTGATCTTGGTAATTGTAAAAGAGATAATAGCACTTTTGGTCCCTGAGTATCGATTCTAATTTTGGTATTAGTAATAGTTAACTAAGAACATTTAGTCTCTAATTAATTAAAATATGTAATTTTGCTCTATTTTGATAGAAAATATGTGATATTTAGATTTTTTTAAAACTATATTATAGCTCGAGTATGGAGCGACAATATAAACGTAACATATCACCTAAGTAACTAATTGGTTTAGCACTTAATAATTCATTAAATTTATGAAAATTCACAGTAAGAGGGATCGAAAGTGCTCTTACGGATTAATTGGAAGTTAGTTGTGTTTAATAAGAAATTTGAATTACAAATATCAAAATTAGAATTTATTCATATTTGAGGACTAAAGTGCAAACTTTGCATTTTAAAATCGGAAAAAACAAATATTTTAAATTTCTTACAACAAATTGAACGGTTCCTATGTTAGAAATTAGAACAGGTCGGAAACAAATGAATGCACGCCGGCAATACCTCCGGCAGTTAGGTCATTTTATATGAATTATGAAACACACATAATGTATGATTGACTAAGAATTGTATCTAATCTCTAACTAAGATAAGCTTAGTAGGTAATTACCTGTTAACTCAACGGTCACTAACGTTTATATTTTTTTAAAATTTATTTGGAAAGCAACATAATGAATTAACATTACCCCTCAAACAAAATGAAAGGTTTTGTAATTTATATCAACATTATTGCATTTGAGTCTAGCATTTCCTATTAAATTACTTAAGGACTAGGGAAGAAAAAAGTGAAAGGAAATAATGAGATTTGACCGCACGTCAATTGTGCGAAAATCGAAAAGAATTACTCAAAATTAGTTTTTTATACAAAAAAATAACTGTAATATATGTCTCTTGTATCTTTTTATATAATTTTTTAATTATTTTTATATATAATAACAATGGTTAAATAATTAAAAATTTAAATAAATAAATATATATAAGTCAATATGTAAGTAATATTTTTTTTTTCAAATATTTTTACCGATATCACTAAACTATAACTCGTGAAGGATCCAAATCCACTAAAAGCATTCTTATTGCCAATTTTACTTCCTACTAGGCAATTTTAATCCAAGAAATTTCAATTGAAGAATTTACAAAAAAAAAAGTCTATTAATTAAAAGATCATATATTACGAGCAAATATTAGTAATTTTCTGATAAGTGTTTTCACTAAAGTCTTTTCTATTTCCTAATTAATTATTTAAAAAAAGAATAGAAGAAAAGAAAAGGCAAAAATTAGTGAAAGGGACCAGCACGTGAGAATGTGGAGAACAGCGACGATAGATTGACTACTTTGACCTCGTCTTTACTCAATAGTTAATAGTGACAGCTCAGCTGTAATCTTTGTATGATGTTCTGAAACAACTCATTCTAAAAGGAAAAAACTATATTTATAATTGCTCCCAAATATATTTTTATATATTAATGTATAATATACATATAATATACATATTTTATATATAATTTTTGTATATTTAAGTAGCTAATATAATTATTTTTGACAGATTGACCAAATGTATAACTTGCCATTTTTAAAATTCTTTTTCAGAAAAATACGAACACGGAGTAATTTGTATATTGTTGATTTAAGTTGGATATTGTCAGTTGGATTAATTTATTTATTTTGACATTCTATGTTTCAGCAGGGTTCTAGTATTTTATTGAAAACCAGGTGCACAATAAAATGAAACAATTTTTATTTATTTATTATTATTTAAGGTTACATATGTTAGTTCCAAGTTTATACTTGCTTAGGTTAAGGAATGCTTGTTTTTCTTGAACCATTCATATTTTTAAGTAAGATTTATTTGTTCTAGAGGTAAGTTCATATAGTATAAAATAAAAAGAAAAAAGTTATAATAATTTTTGCTTATAAATGTCTCATTTCACGACAGAGGTCGTTGTTCCAATTAAATACATATTAATGTATTCGTTCTCCCATGCGTCAAAGTCAAATATTTGTACACTAAACTAAAAAAGATGTATAGTTCCTTGATTATTCGAATTTATGATTACATAAATGCATTTTGTAGTAAGGGATAGGACCAAAAAAGTTGATTAGATAAATTATTTAATTGATTACACATACCAATTAATAAGTTTTTTTTCTTCTAAAAGAACTGTTTGAGTTTTCTTATTAAAGAAGAGTATATCTCCAATCTCTTACTATTAAAGAACAGTATCTTTCCAAAAAAGAAAAAGAAAAAGAAATTTTATGAACAAATTTTGCTTAGGATGTAAAATGACAATTCTACCAATCTCTTTGCGCTCCCTCATTTTCCTTCTTAAATAATTAACAATACTTCTACAGGAAACATTTTTTTTCTTTTCAATAATATGCACCTATATTAGCATGTATTAAAAGATGGAATAATACCATTCCAATATCTTAAAAAGAACGATTTTGACATTTTAAATGATTTTCTCGTTGTAGTTTAATTCATGACAAATACAATGTATTTTCAGCTTTAGTGGGCAAAGAACAAAGTTATGTTGCTTAGCTAATAAGGAAATAAATCACATACTACATATTCATTCGAATTGTGACATAACGTTACTATCTATTTGTTTTTTATTAGTGATAATGATATTAATATACTATAAGCAAAGTGTAAAGATAAAAGAAAGTGTTCAATTATTGGATTAGTAAATGATAAATTGAATAACAACACTAATTTGAGGACAAATTATTTGTTTTTTTTTGCTAAAGAAAGGAAAAAGAGTGAGGGAACACCAGTTAAATAAATCTGTATGGAATAATTGTCCCCGTTTTTTAATTATCATAAAAGATTATGCCTTTTGGAAATTGAATTTAAACAATAAGATACATCATTTAATAAATTTATATGTATACAAAGATGTGGTGTCATATTCATGACATGTACCTAATTACAAATATTATATATTCATTAAAATATAATGAATATATAATATCTCAGACAAAAACGCTAAAACATGTCTTCTCTCCCTACGCTCCCCCAAAATCGCAAGTGCCCTAAGTCCAGACAGGTTAAATGCTTTATTCTTTCAGAGTTGCATTATTACTGGAGAATGGAGATATACAAAATGGTGTGTTAACCTTTTTTAATGGAGCAACTATGCCCAAATTTTTCTCTCACCCATGCTTGGTGATGTTGCCTAAGGTCGAGTTCCCACAAAAGATATCGGACCTCAGGCCAATCAGTCTATGCAATGTATCTAGCAAAATCATATCCAAAATATTGAACGCTAGACTAGTTCAGATTTTGCCCAAGATCATTTCAGCTAATCAGTCAGGTTTTATTATAGGGTGACAAATCTCAGAGAATATAATGTTGGCGCAGAAAATCATAAGTGGCATCCGAAAACCACAGAAGTGGAAAAATGTAATTATGAAACTTGATATGGCCAAGCATATGATAGAGTTGCTTGGCCATACTTATACTAGATAATGAGAAAGCTGGGTTTTTTCGGAATATTGGGTGGATTTGATAAGCCGACATATCTCAGGGAATTGGTACTCTATCATTGTTAATGGTCAGAGACATGGCTTTTTTAAGTCGGAGAATGAGCTGAGACAAGGAGATCCCATCCCACCTTCTTTATTTGTCATCAGTGCAGAACTTTTGTCTACAATGTTGAACAACCTACATGATCAGGAATCTTTCAGTGCATTTGCAATGAACAAAAGGGGTCCTCGAATAAATCACTTGGCATTTGCAGATGACCTTATTCTTTTCATCACTACCAGAAAGAAAACCGTCAAGAAAATGATGAAAGTATTAACAAGGTATGAAAATATTTCTGGACAAATGGTGAATAAAGTTAAGAGTTGTTTTATACTAGTTCCGGGGATAGCGAACAATAGATGAAACATAATAGCAAAGTGGGCTGGGATGAGGCAACAAACTTTGCCAATAAAATACTTAGGTTGTCCTCTGTTTTGTTGGAAGGCAAAGGATCTCATATTACTCGGAGATGATTAGTAAAGTTACTAGCAAAATAAGGGGATGGCATTCAAAATTATTGTCACCAGGGGGAAAACAGTCCTCATAAGGCATATTTTGCTTGCTCTACCAATGCATATGATATCAATCTTGCAACCTCCAAAGGATGTGATTGTACAAATAAAAAAAATAATTGCTAAATTTTCTGGAGCTCTGCATATGGAACAGATAGGCATCATGGGCAAACTTGTGCTACCCATACGCAAATGGAGGATCTTACATGATATATGTAATACTTTCTCAGCAAAAGCCCGGTGGAAGCTAAGGACATGGGACACATTGTGGAGAGATTTCATGTTAGTAAAATATGGTAATAGAGTGCATCCTCTTGTGAAGAATCCAGGAAAAGACTCAGCCCATAGTTGAAGGCAAATGTGCAGAATTCGAGAAAAGGTGGAGGAGCACTTGGTATGGTTAGTGGGAAATGAAGACATATCTTTCTGGTATGATAGTTGGGCTCTAGGTGGTCCACTCTACACTCATCTAGCAGATGGGGAAAGACCTAGAGACATCAAACGGAGAGAGGTCTTCCTTAATGGTGAGTGGCGGGAAGATAATGTTGGGCATATTTATATATGTTCTGATATTGCTTTACTCATGTTTTAATCGCGTTTTGGTGCTATTTGATGGTTAAAATGCCCAACATGTGTTGATTATTAGTTTTATGACTAATTGAGTGTGTGATGATTTAGGATGTTTGGAGTGAAAAAATATGAATAAAAGGTGCTCCAGCTATATGAGAATAGGGTGGATGCGTTGCATCCAACGTAAGAAAAAAAGTTTATTTGATGCATCCTTGGCAGTGAAG